CACACACACCACACACACAGCACACCACACACACACAGCACACACGCACACACACACAGCACACACACACATCACACACCAGCACACACACAGCACATACACACAGCACACACACACACACACACACCACACACACACACACACAGCACACACACACAGCACACACACACAGCACACACACACAGCACACACGCAGCACACACACAGCACACACACACAGCACACACACAGCACAGATTGCGTGTCGCCCTCGTGGCGGGCCAACTTCGTGCACACCGCGGAGTTTTGCGGGAGTCATGAAATGTATCAGCGAGGTAGCAACACGTGCGCTCGAGTTGACGAAGCTCTAATTGGGCGGGGGGGGTGATACATATGAGTTGTATCAGCGAGGATGGAATTAAACGTTTGAAATGAAACGTTTGATGCTGATTGTGTTTTTTTAAGTGTAAGGAGACCCCCCACCACCCAGTGTCAGCTGTCCCTACGCAGCACGGGGGTGTACCTGCCCACGTACGTACGCAGACCGGGCCCTGTCATTGGGCATCTGCCGTCAAGTCGACCCGAAGACTCAGCGTCTCTCCAAATGCCGTGATTATAATATAAATTGGATGTCCCCCCCCCCCCCCAAATATTCAAATGTGCTCAAATATCACCCCCCCCCCACACACACACACAATATATTGCTATAAAATAAATTTCTGTTTATATGATTGTGGTTATGGTTGTACTTTATTAATGCCTAATCTCTGCTATTACATACAATGAAACAAGAAAAGGTAAAAAAGAAAATAACAGCTGTGTAATACCATACACTATTAGACATTATTGCAAAAAATAAAATAAAAGTCAAGCCTATGTGTTAATGAATTATTTTTATATTTTAGGCAGGAAATTCGTTTTCAAATTTTGATTTTTTTTTCTGGGGCGGGGGGGGGAGACCCCCAGACCCCCGTGGAAGATTTGGTCCCCCCCAATGTCAACTCCATTGCTTACTGCCTTGCCACGCACACAGATGACACATGAAGACCTACACACACTCATAGCGATACACGGAGACGCATTGGAGACACGTTAAGATTTTTTTCTAGGGGGGGGGGGGACCACGGACGGACGGACCTCCAGACCCCGTGGAAGATTTGGTCCCCCCCCCAATGTTGACTCCATGGCTAGGGCCTTGCCGTGCGGTGTTGCATCGGACCACTTGGAAGCAGATTCGTGTGTAGCGAGAGGCGAGACACGCGGTCGGGGAACGATGCAATTGTGAACGAAAAAAAATCCCCGCGACGCAATTGTGCATCCTGCACGCGATTCGGTGACACGCGTTCATTTAATTTGTGTCTCGCGAAAGCAACGGCACCACCCACCCAAACCCATGTACGTCTGTATTATGTATAAGACTTGTGTCAGAATACACGCACGCACAATTGCATTGTACACGTTCTAATTCACGATCAAAATTGACGTCCGGATAATTGTCGCGTAAATTATAGACCCAAAGATACACGCACACGCACACGAACGCACCCATACGTACACTCACGTACACGTGAGCATGCATACAAAAAAACCGCAAGTTTGCACATACACAAACAAAGACAAAGATCCTTCGTGTAGCCTTCGCAGACGATTGGGGCAAGTGCTGTTAGCGATCACCTAGGGGGTGGGTGGCCAGCACCACGCCCGGCCGCCTTTGTCTCCCCAGTGGCGATGTTTACACACCGCACCAGGTACTCATTTGAGGCTGATTCGACCTGACCACACGCTCACATACCCCTAAAAAAAAGACGCACATGCACATACGCACACATACATATACAAAACACACACACATGAACATGCATATTAGCCGACCCACAAACACAGTACACAAAAGACACACACACACGCACGCACAATCACATTTACACACATACACGGGCACACACACACACACACAATCACATTTACACACATACACGGACACACACACACGCACAATCACATGTACACACATACACGGGAACACACAGACACACGCACAATCACATTTACACATACACGGACACACACACACACAATCACATTTACACACATACACGGGCACACACACACAATCACATGTACACATACACGGACACACACACACAATCACATGTACACACATACACGGACACACACACACGCACAATCACATTTACACACATACACGGTCACACACACAGATACAATCACATGTACACACATACACGGACACACACACACGCACAATCACATTTACACACATACACACACACACGCACAATCACATGTACACACATACACGGACACACACGCACAATCACATTTACACACATACACGGGCACACACACACAATCACATTTACACACATACACGGACACACACACACACGCACAATCACATGTACACACATACACGGTCACACACACAGACACAATCACATGTACACACATACACGGACACACACACACACACGCACAATCACATTTACACACATACACACACACACGCACAATCACATGTACACACATACATGGACACACACGCACAATCACATGTACACACATACACGGACACACACACACACGCACAATCACATTTACACACATACCACACACACACGCACAATCACATGTACACACATACACGGACACACACGCACAATCACATGTACACACATACACGGGCACACACACACGACACGAAGATCCTTAGCATGGCCTCATAAGTGGTGTAAAGCGTTGTTAGCGAGCACCTATTAGGCCAGAAATATCGCACGGCAGGTGGTGTTGCCAGAACCACGACCGGCCCTCTTTGTCTTCCCGAGGTTGAGTTGAAACGCTGACTAATATCGCTTCAGATACCACTCGGCCGGGAACCGTTCTCTGCGTAATGCGCTAACCGCTGCGCCACCGCTCCCAACACGCACGAAGACAAAGATCCCCCGTGTAGCTTTAACAGACTGTTGGGGCAAGTGCCGTTAGCGAGTAGCACCTGTGAAGGCTACACGTACGAGCACACACACACACACGTAGCTTGCACACCAATTGTGAGTGAAAAGCGATAACATCTGTACGGGAAAATCTATATATATACACAGATATATTCTCTCTGTCATTTGGTGAAATGCGTACACCTACACAAGTAACACATTCGCTAGGGGGTTTTCACATAAGTTAGAGACCAATTCAGCCACCACACCTGCCACCATCATCACAACCACCATCATCACAACCACCATCATCACAACCACAACCACCACAACAACCCATGAACAATGTATACATCGCAAACTAACTCCCATATTTCGTACTTTTTTTTTAGCAAATCTCGACTTGCTGAGCAAACGCCCTAAAGATCCAAAAACTTCAAGCGGTCAGTAACAATCAGCACCGTTGGATTTCTAAGATAGAAGACTTCATATCTCACGAGAGTGCAATACAAGTTCAGCAAGCTCACCTGGTCAGCTCTACCGGAATTAAATTTTGACAATGCAAGGTGAATTTAACGATTCTAAATGAATCACGCAATGTGGAACACGCGAGCCAATGCACAACTGATTAGGTAACATAATTAATGAAGATAACTGTACACAAAATAAAGATAACACATTAGACAATACACAATTAATTCTAGATTTGAAGATTTCGTGACTGCAAGGATTCATACTCTTTGTTTTTTTCGGTAAAGTCACGTAGGTAAAAAAAAATGAAAACAACTCAATTAAATCACGACGTTTCGGGCGCAACAGAAGCGTCCGTCATCAGTTGGGAAAGCATGTTCTGCTGCTGATGCAGACTGTTTAAAACTAAAAAGTATAACACACAATCAATAAAGACAACACGTTACACACACATACTTAATAAAGACAACACGTTACACAAGACACAATGAATAAATAACACGTTAAATAACACACAATCGATAAAGATAACATGTTACACAATACACAAGTAATACAGACAACACGTTACACAACACATAATTAATTCAAGTAAACACGTTACACAATACACAAAGCGGTCGGGCGTGGTGCTGGCCACCCACCCCCTCGTGTACCATTCCGGCCTTCATAGGTGCTATTCGCTAACAGCACTTGCCCCAACAGTCCGTTACAGGCTACACGGGGATCTTTGTCTTTGTATCTACTCAAAGTGTACGAAGCACGCCGAAGCTAAGGGGGCGAAGTTGGGGGGGGGTTCTGAAGACACGCGGTCTCCTTCTCCTCTGGCTGATGTAGAAGATGCAGAGTAGCGCCTGGCCTGGACACACCAGCATCGCCACACAAAGACAAAGATCACCCCCCCCTCGTGTAGCCTGGACAGACTGTTGGGGCAAGTGCTGTTAGCGAGTAGCACCTATGAAGGCCGGCACGGCACATGAGGGGGTGGGTGCCCAGTGGCGATGTTAACTATACATCGCACCGGGTACTTATTTGAGGCCGAGTCGACCTAGGGGAGGCCCAAGACTAGTTCAGATAATCGTCACCGGTGTTGGCCGTGGGCGGGAATCGAACCCGTGTCGTTGGGTTCGTAGCGCAGCGTAGCGCTAACCGCTACACTACCGCTCCCCACTCTGTACACACACAGACACACACAGAGACACACACACAGAGACACACACACAGAGGACACACTCACCAGACACACACAGAGACACACTAACACACACACCCAGACACCACACACACACAGACACACACACACAGATACACACACAGATACACACACACAGACACACCACACACAGAGGACACACACACAGACACACACAGAGACACACACACAGAGACACACACCAGACACACACCAGACGAGTTGGTATCCCCAGTGTTTATGTTTATGCCAGCTCGTAGCAGCAGCAGCAGGTATTAATTTAAGGCCGAGTCGACCTAGAGGAGCCCCAGGGACGAGTTCTGATACCGCTTGCCTCTGTGTACGATGCTATTTGGTTATTTCGGTGAAGTCACGTAAGGTAGAAAAATAATAATAAATCAGGACGTTTCGATCGCCGCACAAGCAAACATCTTCAGGTGGGAAAACGGTGTCTTGTGTGGCCATCGAAACGTCGTGATCGATTCATTCCTGCAGTCACGAAAGCTTCACATCTGTGTACGATGTTAAGGGGGGGATTCAACACAACAACAACAACAACCGCCATTCGCCACTAAGTGGCGGTGACGTCACCACGACGCTCGTGCCAGGCCATGTGCACCTTGAGGCCACGTGAAGTGTCGAACACCCGCTGGCAGGAGGTCACGGGGCAGACCCAGCAGGTGCCACGGATCGACTGACTGAGAAGACCGAGATGACTGGCTGATGCACCACCTGTGCCCCCCTACTGTGTAAACTTGCTGTGCTTTAGCCACCCGGCACACACATATGCACACTGACAAATACATAGCAAGCAAGCATACACCACCACCAGCATAGACATTTACACACGTGGACATGCCCGCGTACACACGATTCCAAAGACAAAGATCCCCCGTTGACTGTAGGGGCAAGTGCTGTTAGCGAGTAGCACCTACGAAGGCTGGCACGGTACACGAGCGGGTGGGGTGGCCAGCTCCACGCTCAGCCGCCTTTGTCTCCCCACTGTCGATGCTCACCACACCGCACCAGATACACATTTGAGGCTGAGTCGACCTAGGGGAGATCCAAGACCAACTCGGGTGGCCGGGTTCGTAGCGCAACGCGGTAACCGCTCTCCCCCCCCCCCACCACCACGCGCACAAACGCGCACGCAGCTCTAACAACAACATCAACAACATCAACAACAACAACAACCGACTTGCAAGCAACGGCAACGTCACCCGCAGCTCCGGTGCCAGGCTAGGTACTGGTAGGAGATCACGGGAAACACAACCCCCCCCCCCCCAGGTGGTTTAAGATCGACTAACCACGCGCACGAAACAACAGCAACAGCAACAAAGACAATCTTGATTTGACACACACACACAGACGCATTGCCGCCCAACTTATACATTACTATTTTTAATATATCACAAAACGCACGACGTAGACGCCACTCACACGTTCACACGCGGACCGCAATGTACACCCCACGCGCACCTAACGGGTGTGGACCAGCGTCGCGCCAACGTTGGCGGGCCAACGTCGCGCCAACGTTGGCGGGCCGACGTTGCGTGTGGGTTGCCCCCCGATGGCTCTCACTGCAGGGAAACCCCTCCCGAGATGAGGCTGCTGCTGCTCACGACGTTTGCGCCGCTGCTATGAGTCGGCATGCCCGACGAGATCTCTGGGGAGGCTGACGATACGCGCGGTTGCTGCTGCTGCTGTTGTTGTTGCTGCTGCTGCTGCTGCTGCTGCATCTTCTTATTCACTTTCCGTTCCTTCGCTCGTCGGTTCTGGAACCAGATCTTCACCTGCGTCGGCACAGCACGCAGACGCGCAGGTGTGCGCGTTAGCCTGTGTGTGTGTGCATACAGAACGCGCGCGTGTGTGCGTGGTGCGTTAGCCTCTGTGTGTGTGCGTGCGCATGCAGAGTGCGCGTGTGCGTGTGTGCGCGTTAGGCTTTGTGTGTGTCACAGCTACGACGGCGCACGGGTGGCACAGTCGGGTTCTTTACAATCGGGTTTCATTGTCTTTTATATTAAACCCGATCATCTGAGATTGGGAGAAATCCGGGTTAATTGGTTCTAATTGCGGCATCCGAGCGGAACTTCTCAACGTTAGTGTACGGTGGGTTTTTTTCTGGAATTTTTTGCTGTTTTTTCCCCCCTAGATTTTCAGTTTGCACATAGTCACATAGTAACTTTAAGATTTTTCTTGTTCGTGTGTTTGTTTGTTGCGGTTGCACCCGATTCAAGAGCCGAATGGCTCACAGTGCTATACCTACTAAATGAACTTAATGGGCTTCATCCATTCCAAGCTAAGGAACTCACTGGCGCCCACGATTGTGGAGGAGAAGCTCGTGTTCATCAAGACCAACCTGCCTGCCGCATTCTACAACTACCTCGTGCCCGATGGCCCCGAGTACGATAGCAGCACCGACGAGGGAAGCAGCCTATGCCTTGGATCAGAGTTTCGCATTCATTAAACCAGGTTTCAATCCCCCGAAATCGGGTTTAATTGTATTAAAGAAAAAACCCGATGCCTGCCGCTGTAAAAAAAAATCGGGTTTGTGTCCACCCTTGTGACATCGATCGAGTTCCTGGCTGGAGGCCCTGACCTGTCTCTCGGAGAGGCCCAGGTGCGATGCGAGCTCGGACTTGCGCCTGATGGTGATGAATCGGTTCGCCTGGAACTCCTTCTCCAGCTCCAGCCGCTGATAGTCCGAGTACACCACGCGGTACTTATCCTTGGTACGCGTTTTGCCTGCGGGGAAGAACGGAGAGTTGTTGTTGTTGTGGTGGTGGTGGAGGGGGTGGGGGTGGGTGGGGAGGTGATGAATTGAAATCAGGGAATTTTTTTGTCGGGGAAATTTTTACAGGATGACGTCACCCTGCTGCTGCTCTATATAAGAACGGGAGACACAGCAGAGCCTCACCATTCTGGCGAATTGCCCGATGATGCTGGATGCAATTACCAGCGAAACGTCGTACTCAAATTGTAAATGTTGTGGTTTCGCGCTTCAACACACCGGTGGGCTAAAGCACTGAACTAATTGTCTTTTGTCAACGTGACACTTTTTTACTGATTGGCCGTGTCGGGTGGTGGAGGGTTACGACACATTTATAAATAACGCGATCTAAACCCAAAAACGTTGATTATGAATAATATTGGTCGCGAAAGCCTGCTACGTGTTAAACTGAGGGTTTTCTGCGTCCTCCCAAACCCCCACCCCCCTGGGCTCCCCTCCCCCCCGCCCCCTTCCCTGCCCCCAATTGGGGGGGGGGGGGGGCACGGAAATATATTCCGGAGCTCAGCCATGGGCAGCTCCAGCTGAAATGAAGGACCGATTTATATATATATTTATATATTTATTTATTTCAAACACCAAATCAAAACTAAATGTACTTGTTAAAGTTACGACGTATATCCGATGAGTGTTCCGGTTGTGTCGCGTGTTGTTCGGCGACATGTCCGACGTTTCGCTTCACCTCCCCGGGCGAGGCCTTGAACGCCGTGCCAAACCATCGCGCGCGTCGCCCCGAACGAATGCACAACAGCAGCATGGGCAGAGGCGTGCAATGAATACGTGAATAACGGTAACAAGTTCTGATTCTGCACAAGCCGCGACTAACCCAACTCAGGAGTGGCGTTACGCTGTTACGCTGGAGCTAATCACGTCTGCACCGAGGCTCTCACAGTAATTCTAGATTTGAAGCTTTCGTGGCTGCAAGGATTCATATTCTTAGGTTTTTTTTTCTCGGTAAATTTACGTAGGTAAAAAAATGAAATTAATAAAAGAAAAAGAAAAGAAAAATCACGACGTTTCGGAGGCAACACAAGCTTCCGTCTTCAGGTGGAACCGTCACAGCACGATAGCTGTATCAAGTAAATGAGAGAAATTCCAAGAAACAGTATTTCTATATATATACTGGTTGAAGGTGGGAGGAGCCAAGGTAGGCACGTGGATATTATTATTGTGAGGTTCGGTGCGGCTGAAGCACGCTGTTAGGAATGAGCCTTTGTTGTGTAAACTAGGTGCGGATGATGTAAAGGTGCGTGTAAAAGGGACTGAGCCTTTTTGTTATGTAGAGATGATGCGGCTGAAATCACTGCGGTCCGAATCCGCGGCCACGTATGGGACAAGTTTTTCGAGGCTGCATGGAGGCGCGTAATGCGAATGCGCACGAGAACAAGGGAGACAAACGCCGTCGACAGAGATCATCACGCAGATGGACAATTGACTGTGTGTGTGGGGGGGGGAGGGTGTCAGTCAGATCGATCGCGTCGTAAACCCTCCGCCACCTGACGCAGGCAGATTATTACTTTCGCCACGTGATGAAACACACGTGGCCTAATTATAGAGGCGGGTTTTGGAGGGGGTGTTAGATGGCGTCAATATATAAATGTGTCGTTAAACCCGCCACCACCCGACACAGCCAATTAGTGAGGGTTGTCACGTAAACAGACACATACCATCTTCTTGGTTCTTTCGGTAAAGTCACGTAGAAGGGAAGTAATAAAATAATAAAAATAAAACATAATAAAATTTCAATTTTATTAATTTTAATTTTATTTTAATTTTATTATGTTTCATTTTTATTATTTTATTACTTCCCTTCTACGTGACTTACCGAAAGAACCAAAAAGATGAATCCCTGCAGTCACGAAAGCTTTAAATCAAGACACATGCCAATCAGTGACTTACTTCAGCACCACAAGGTGCGTTGGAGAGTCAAGCCACAAACAGCACCCACAATTCGAGTGCACGATTTCACGAACCTCGCGAATTTTCACTGCCGGGTGAAGGTGGGTTTTAACGACACATTTACGCGATCTAACACTACACTATACAATCCTATACATTGCACTACTATACATTAGTATACACTACACTATACACTACTATAGACTACTATACACTACACTATACACTACACTATACACTACTATACATTAGTATACACTACACTATACACTACTAGACACAACTATACATTACTATACACTACACTATACACTACACTATACACTACACTATACACTACACTATACACTATACTATACACTACTAGACACAACTATACATTAGTATACACTACACTATACACTACAATACACTATACACTACTATACACTGGACTACTATACATTAGTATACACTACACTATACACTACTATACACTACTATACACTACACTATACACTACACTATACACTACTACATTAGTATTCACTACACTATACGCTACTAGACACAACTATACATTACTATAAACTACACTATACACTACACTATACACTACACTATACACTATACTATACACTACTAGACACAACTATACATTAGTATACACTACACTATACACTACAATACACTATACACTACTATACACTGCACTACTATACATTAGTATACACTGCACTATACACTACTAGACATAACTATACATTACTATACACAACACTATACACTACTATACACTACACTATACACTACACTATACACTACACTATACACTACTAGACACAAATATACATTACTATACACTACACTATACACTACTATACACTACAATATACACTACACTATACACTACTATACACTACACTATACACTACACTATACACTACTATACACTACTATACACTACACTACTATACATTACTATACACTACACTATACCCTACTATACACTACACTATACACTACACTATACACCACTATACATTAGTAGACACTACACTATACACTACTAGACACAACTATACATTACTATACACTACACTATACACTACTATACACTACACTATACACTACACTATACACTACACTACTATGCACTACACTATACACTACTATACATTACTATACACTACACTATACACTACACTATACACTACTATACATTACTATACACTACACTATACACTACTATACACTACACTATACACTACTATACACTACTATACACTACACTATACACTCCTTTACACTACTATACACTACACTATACACTACTCCACTATACACTATTATACACTACTAGACACAACTATACATTACTATACACTACACTATACACTACTATATACTATACACTACACTATACACTACACTATACACTACACTATACACTATACTATACACTACAATACACTATACACTACTATACACTACACTACTATACATTACTATACACTACACTATACACTACTATACACTATACACTACTAAACATTACTATACACTACACAATACACTACTATACACTATACACTATTATACACTACTAGACACAACTATACATTACTATATACTACACTATACACTACTATATACTATACACTACACTATACACTACACTATACACTACACTATACACTACTATACATTACTATACACTACACTATACACTACTATACACTATACACTACAATACACTATACACTACTATACACTATACACTACTATACACTATACACTACTATACACTATACACTACTAAACATTACTATACACTACACTATACACTGCTATATACTATACACCACTATACACTATACACTACTAAACATTACTATACACTATACACTACTATACACTATACACTACTATACACTATACACTACTATACACTACTATACACTATACACTACTATATACTATACACTACTATATACTATACACTACTATATACTATACACTACTATACACTAAACACTACTATACACTATACACTACTATACACTATACACTACAATACACAGACTGTAGCTCTTCCCTGGGACTGCGTGAACAGTTACCGTGACTGTGCTCCCCGCCATGCGTACTCGACTAACGAGTCTATAACACAGATAACAACCCCTGAAGGGGCCATACATTTAGTGCGTACTGTACGCATGGAGGGGGAAGGAGGAGGGGTTAACCCAAATGCGTTCACTTGCGTATGGGGGCGTCTACTGACAATGGGGTGGGTGGTGAAGCCTCGATAATAATTTGTCTACATCAACTGAGTTCGATAGTCCGGCGGTGTGGACTATCTGATTTGCTTCAACACGTGAATATTATTCATAATCCTTGATCATTTCTGCGTGGATTAAATATCGGCCGTTCTATAGGATTCGGGGGTGGTGGTGGTTTTGTAAAAAGTCCGCGTGCGTACAGAGAGGGGTCACGCTTTTGACAGATTGTGTTTGCGTGCGCACTCGATGGACGGCCCCAAACCATTCGCCACGATCCTGTCGCAAATCATTTGATGAAATGACGACGTATCTGCGAAACCACGTGAAACGGGGAAAGGCGTAAATCATCTGGAGGGGAACCCGCTGTGCACGAACATCAGCCCCGCAAGCAGCGAGCGGGTCTGCTGGCGGTGTTAGCGAGCACCGCTTCAGGTCGGCACGAATCACGCCGCGTGACGGAGCGAGGTTGGGCAACATCCGTGCACACACACACACACGTGCGTGTGTTTGTGGCAGAGGTCGCAAACGGGTTTTGATTCCTTACCCGTACCCGGCTGCACCAGTGGTCGCAAATGGATACCCGTACCCGTACCCTACCCGTACCCGGCCGGGTATCGGGTAGGGTACGGGTATCGGGTACCTGATTGCGACCTCTGGGATGAAGCCATGTTGCAGGCGCGGGTGGGTTGATTCTAGGAACTTGAATTGTGAGAAGAGACAAGACGTTGGGGAATGAGTGACAAACAGTTACTCACCAGTGACTCACGGCCTACCCGTACCCGTACCCGGCCGCACCAAGG